GCAATCACTATGATTTACAAATTAGTAATTTCTTAACCGAATGAATAAAGCAATGATAATTCTATTTGAACAAAAAACCAGGTTCACTCGATCTACTGTTAATTTTCAAGTTTATTGGCATTTTGATAATATCGTTTTTGAGCATGTTTTATTAATATGCCACCTGGTCGATAAAGCCATTTCCTCACTGCACGCTGAATTATTTTAGCCGGATTTATTTATTTTTTCCATAAACGATATGCTTGTTTGATAATAATCACTGATCGATTTTTTATATACAAAGTTAGGAAATATGTTACTTGGGTTTTAAATTCTCTAAATTCAGAGTTATTGGCTATGGATTCATTTCTGGTTAAATTATTTTTAATACGAAATACAAAGTTTCTCCAATGAACCTTTTTATTAATATCATATCCTAGTATTAATAAATATCTTTGTATATATTCAGGTGGATGATACTTCGCAAATTGTAATCATACTTCTGGTATTTTTAGATTATTGATATAGTTTAAACTATATTCAGTTAACATATATCGGGTATAACTATTTTTTTCCCATTTCTCAAAAATATCTTGAATATTAGACATGTTTATATTTTAAACACATGGATTTTATTAACTAAGACTTTTATTTAATAAGAATTTCACATGGCATCTTAATTTTATATTTCAACTTTTCAAGTTTAAAAAATATTTTGCAAATATTTTTTATTTGAAAGAAAAAAATAATATATAATAGCTATATAAGCATCTGGATTACTGCCATGATCTAAACTCTATGATTTCGGTTGCAAAGAAAACAAGTGAGGCGTATGTTTTCTTTAATATACCCTAAACTATTGTGGATTCGATCTACTGTCCACTGGGATATATCTCCTGGCTGATCCCATTCGAATTTCATTTCAATAAGACATAATGCGTATTTGTCTTCTTGAATATGTTTTAATATAAGGATATAGTTAACTGTTAGATCAAATTCACAGCCTTTTTTTTTATCCTGGCCTATATATCTGATAAGTTTTTCTTGAATAGACGGCCTCAATTCGTGTTCTAGCCGTTTTTTCTTTTTTGCCTCCTCAATCTCTTAGGCAATTTCAGGAGGTAATAGAGGTACTTCAACCTGAATGAGTTGGTTTAAATATTTTACACGACCAACTGCCAAATATATTAGATTATTCCAGGCTAGGTTTTCATCAATGACACAAACACGTTGTGGTGACTTAAGAGTCATTAGTATGAATGGTCATTGCGTATCTGAGTTCCTAATCTATGACTTTTTTATCTACTAATATATCTTTTAAGAACTTGTCAGGAAGTGTATTTAAGGGCAAATATACTATATCATTTTTTACTAACTCCTTCTTTTCAGATAAGCTGGGAATTTGAACAAGGCAATTCTGTTTGTATCCATCTTTTGGCCTATAAATTAATGGGATTAGAATTTCAGGATATTTTACTTGATGAATTTTTAAGTATTTTTGGGAAGCAATTCTCTGGGAAAGTATATGTGCTGATAAGATACGATCTAATGGCTTCTATTCAGCTTTAAGATATTCCCATTTTTCTGTATTCAGAAGTGCTTCACAGAATAAGTCTGACTGCACTCTGTTATTTTGGCATCGTATTTTTTTCTTAAGCTCTTGTAATCTAGGACATTTGGCCCAATAGTCAGTTAAGACTTCCTCATAGTAATCAGCTTGTTCTTTTAACCAGTCATGAGGCATTTCTCTGAAGAATGGTGGAGGCTAAGCATCATCTTCACAACAGATTACCTAACATTTTTGCTCTAATAAGGCCAGACTAATTTAATTTTTCGTTTAACATAACCCCCTCTCTATTTTTTAAATTTTATATGAATCCAATACTCATTAATAGTAATTAATAGTATTTACCCCTCAATTTTTTAAATTTTATATAACTAACACATGTTAAATCAACCAATAAAATTGGTGGTTTTTTTAATTTGTGTATTTTTCACGCCCTCCCTCTCTCTTATGAACCATTTGATGTTATATTAAATGAAAAATCAATTTGGAGTGGCCTAAGTAGTCAATAAACATTTTGAGAATATGCCTAGGCACTGTGCATACCTCGTCCCAGATGACAACTCGTAGAAATTTCTTTTCTCCCATATGTTCAGGTGTTCATTCTCCCATGCCATTCCATCTAAAGAAGCTATGCCAAGTTTGGGCTTTTACTTTATGGTCATTTTGGAAATCTTTAGCTAGTGTATTTGTATAGGTGAAAACAACCATGTTTATATCTTTGAAGATTCGAATTGCACGCGTTGTCTTTCCAGAACCACTACCTTCATTGAAATAAGAAACTCAGGATCTTGTAATAGGATCATGAATTGATGGAGCAGTACTTTCAGTAATATCTTTAATCAATTCCCAATGCCTATTTTTTGGCCAGTATACAATATTAGGATCTGGACCATGAATTTTTTCTCCTTTATCACGCCATTGTCCAGGCTATATTTCTCTAATC